GCGCGGAGCAGACGTCGGGGGGTCGGGGTGAGGGAGGTGGAGTCAACAAGGTCCTCGAACACAACGGCTTCACCAAGATCCGCGACCGCTGCATCCTCCCCGACGAGGGGGAGGGCGACGGACTTCTCGAGGAGCAGCAGCGCGCGCTACTTCTTCTCCAACCGCCGCTGGAGGAACCCCGACGACCCCCACGAGCTCCAGGAGCTCCGGCAGGCCTGGCTCAAGCTCCGCCAGCTCGCGTGCAGGCTCGGGGCGGACGTGAGCCTGGAGGCGCTGGAGCAGTGCTGCCGGGAGAGGTACGGGGCGTGGGCGGAGATGACGGTGAACTGGAGCAAGGCGCCGCGTCGGGTGTACCGGAAGGCGAGGACGGGGAGGAAGGGAGGGAGAGGCGAGGGGACAGAGAACAAGGCTTCATTGACTGAAATGGAGGCAGTCGCCGTGAGCGAGGTACCGGCGGTAGGGCTGCCACTGTCTGTGTTGCACGGCGAGGAGATATTGAGAGATGAGCTCAAGGATGCAGGTTGCCTTCTCAGTACTCGGCGGGATGTCATGGCCGTCCAGTCAGAGCCGTGGGAGCTAAGCCTGCTTGGCGAGGCGAGGGAGGAGGAGGAGAGCTGGCTGGAGGAGGAGCTTCCGTTTGTAGGGTGGGGGGAGACGCCGGAGGAGGTGGCGGGCTTAGGGAGGACGGGCTGCAATGTATGGCGCGAAGGAGAGAAGGTGGTATGGAGTGAAGTAGAATAGAGTAGAGAAAGCACTGAGATACATGTGTGCTTGGTTTTGCAGGACAGAAGAAATACTAGTCCTATTTTCGTGGGTACTCATACTAGTAAAGGGGGGTAGTAGGGTTATAGCGGGTCAAGTGAAGTACTCAGTAGGGTTATATGGGGTGGGGTAGGGTTGGCCGCCGGGCCGTCAATCCCTATCACAATTCAATGATGACACAGGGCGCCCAGGCTTCCGGGCCGGGCCTGGACTGAGTCCCGATGACCGTCGGACCGAGTCACTGAGGGTCGTCACTAACTTGCCGGGCGGGGGGCACGTTATGAGCCCAACCCGGACACTGCACTGCAAACTGAAAATCAAGTGAGCGATCTCAACCCGGTGACCAGTCACGCCACTACTAACTTGTAAATCAGTAGGTCAAGGACTCGCTTATGATCCCGGTCCGAAACTTCGGTTGAGCAGATTTTATCTTCCCCTATCACGTTACCATTGGAAACCTGTCGAGTCGGTCCGAAGAGTAAAACGACATTTAAAAGAGTCAGCAGTGACCTCTGCTAACTCCTTCGGGAGCTCAAGGGCCACAGCCTGTCAGATCATTCTCATTCCTTCGCTCAGCCGCACAAGCTCCTCTTGAAGTTTACAACGGAACGACCCGAAAGCTTCCCGCTCTTTTTCGCTATTTCCGTCATCGGCAGCATTGCTGATCTTCGTCACGTTACCATCGGCATCTCTCGACCATCGGTAAAACGCCATAATATACACTACCACCACCGGTCCTGCGCGGATCCGGAGAGACTATGGGGTACTAGTTAGCGAGGTGCAACTTTATAAAGTAAATAAAGGGCCTCGAGCCCGAACCCGCCTCCCTCCTCCTCCTCTCCCTCTTGCTTGACCTCCTCACCGTGCTTGCTGCATCGGTTGTCGTCCTCTAACCCAGATCTCAAGCACACAGCTGAAAACTCTGAATTCCCTGCCATGGTTCGGCCCTCTGCCTCCCCCGCCTCCAAGGCCGTCGCCCTCGCCTTCGCACAAGCGGTATGCCCCTCCCCCTCATCTCATCTCCTCCCTCCTCTGGCCTGACCCCTGCTCTCAGGTCTCCCGAGCCGTCCCTGCCTCCTTCAGCCACCTCTTCATCCCCCGCAAGGGCCGCCTCTCCCTCTACGACGCCCTCTGTGACTGCATCCCGGCCGCCGCCCGTAGCGCGGAGCAGACGTTCGGGGGGTACGGGGTGAGGGAGGTGGAGTTCAACAAGGTCCTCGAGCACAACGGCTTCACCAAGATCCGCGACCGCTGCATCCTCCCCGACGAGGTGGAGGCGACGGACTTCTCGAGGAGCAGCAGCGCGCGCTACTTCTTCTCCAACCGCCGCTGGAGGAACCCCGACGACCCCCACGAGCTCCAGGAGCTCCGGCAGGCCTGGCTCAAGCTCCGCCAGCTCGCGTGGATGCTCGGGGCGGACGTGAGCCTGGAGG